CTTCTGGGGGGTGGGGGCTATAATTTCAGCAGCATTGATTCAAAACAAACAAACTCTGGACCAGTTTCGACGTACAACGTCTTACCAGAAGAGTCGGGCTTGCTTGGATCAATGCTGGTGAAACTGCCGATCATATCCCGAGTTCGATTCGTGCTCACGGCCACCAACACCAGTGACGATTATCTGAACCAGTCATGGGCCTCCCCTAGATCGACTCAGCCTCAAATGGTGCGTTGTGTAAACATCACCACGTGTTGGCCACCGTGTGCCATTCCGGCCTTCATAGGAACTCGCTAACTCGCAAACAGAACTTGCCCAAACAATAGTAAAAGCGATATGGGTGAATGTTTGTATTTGTCTTATAAGCAACAGGGGTGCTATTCGTCGCAAAATAATTTGAATACAAAACAAAAATAAAAATCGTAAGCGTCGTTGTGGAAAGGCGCCTCAGTCGGGGGATGGAACCCAGGCATTTTTTGTTTTACTGCGAGACTCAAGTGTTAGGGGCCGTCCATATATGACGTCACGCACCTGGGGGGGTTCAGACATGTGTGACGATGTGTGACGAGGGGGGTGGGGGTTGAGAAATGTGACGTCACATAAAATGCGCACCTTTAAATATAGAATTGTTATAACACTAATTATTATAACAATACTCCTACAACATCGAAGTGCAGCGCCACAATGACAAGAGTTTTAAGCGATTTGAAGCATGTTTTATTTGCAAAATGGAAATATGGTTTTGGGGGTGGGGGGGGGGCTAAGCTTTGTGACGTCATATTTGAGGGGAGGAATCTGACTTTTTGTGATGCCGTGTGACGAGGGTGGTGGGGGGGTCAAAAATCGTCCAAAATCGCGTGACGTCATTTATGGACGGCCCCTTACCACTGCGCCAACCTACCGCGCGGCATGACTTGCTCGACCAGGCGTTGTCACACTGCAGCAGCAGCAGCATTGTCATCGTCATCCACCGCATGCTGCTCGCAGCTGTGAAGGTTCAGCACAGGGGGCGCTCCTGGGCAGCGGTGGGGCGACCCCTGCGGGGTGCGGGTTGAGGGTCGCTCAGATTTGTGTGAATGTCAAACTCCTCGCGCGCCGCTCACGGAGCCAACCGTTAAGCATCAGTGGCGTGATGATTCACATCTGTGGTTGATTCTTTATATATGTCTTCTTGGTTCTTTCGGTAAAGTCACGTAGAAGGGAAATAATACAAATAAAACATAAAATAATTCTCACGACGTTTCGGCCACAACGCAAGCAGCCGTCCTCTGCTTGCGTTGTGGCCGAAACGTCGTGAGAATTATTTTATTATGTTTTATTTTTATTATTTTATTATTTCCCTTCTACGTGACTTTACCGAAAGAACCAAGAAGACGAATCCCTGCAGTCACGAAAGCTTTAAATCGAAATCTTTATATTTGCTTTAACAGGTAGGCTTTCGCGACCAATAGTGTCCACAATAGAAGTTTTTGGGTTAGATCGCGTAAATATAAATGTCATTAAACACGCAACGAGCCGACACTGCCAATTCGTTAGGTTTGTCACGTAAACGAAACATGTGAATTCGTTACTACTACAGCACACCGGTGTGTTGGAGAGTAAACACACAATTTATATGATGTATTAGTTTTTGTTTCATATGTGCTACAAAGGTAATAGTTTAAATTCTTGAAAATTATTTAGTATGTAGTAGATAATTACGAACATAGAAATAAAGTAATTTAATAACTTCTTGATAATTGAGAAGATATTGAATACTTTTAATAACTGTGTTTATTTATTTATTTTACATATATAAAGAATCAAACACTAACAAATACCATACCATACGAGTCCAAGCATGAATTACGTGAAAAATTGCTTCATTACGGATCGGATTCCTCCAGTCTAAATAAGGATTCTGATTCTGATTATTCACTCTGTGCCAACGTTGTTTCAACGTACACGTATCGACATCATATAGACGTTGACATTCCAATCAACATCGATATGGACGTTAATATTTCGACGTTGATTCGAACAATCCAATGCATTCGCATTGTTGGAACGTCACGATCTGACGTTGTTCCAACGTCAATTCAACGTAATTTGCCTGCTGGGCAAGCATTCATTCTTTCACTCGTTGAAAAAAAAAAACTAACGACCAACTCGATCTACAATTAAAATGAGAAATAGCTTCACTTATCTACGTACAAAGTGTGTGTTGTCCTCCTCATTCATGCACATGTGTACGACCCTTTACCATTCGACGACTGGCTCAAGGAGGCCAAGTCCACGCGGTTGCTGGTCGTGGCGATTGTTTGACCATACTTCACCACACTGGTCGATGCGTTTTGATGAAAGCCGGGCGCATAGACGTGCAAGCGTCGAGGTACTGTGCAACAGCGGATGTGATCGAAATGCCTTCTGCTGTTCAATACGTAGCGTAGTAGTCCTGCTCTTCCTCTGCATGCGAAGTGCATGTGTTGCAATGTATACAGATGTCGTCAGCAAGAAAACTGTGATCCGAGTTCAATTCCAGGCCACGACCTACGTTAGCAGTGGCAAGCGATATCTGAACCGGTTCTGGGACCCCCCCCCCTCCACCCCCCCCCCTCCACCCCCCGACTCCCCCCCTTCAACCATCCCTCAATAACCAGCGCGGTGAAGTATGGTCAAACAACTCCACATGACTGACGCGGCTCAGGGAAGCCGTAACCCAGTAGTGGATTGCCAAAGAGCTGTGTATTATACATATTAAATATTTGTCCTGATGTCAAATGGATTTTTTTTAAAGGAGCTGTATTTCTGTTTTATTTATCGGTGCATATCTAGGTCTCAAGTCGGTTATATTCGAACAGTTAGCAAATAATTTCGGTACAACATTTATTTGAAATTCCTAAGTTTTCTTGAACGTAGCTATGTTTGTCGTCGCTCGCCATATGGCCCCTCATTCACGTCTCTGCTCAAGAGCTCTATACAATTTGTATTAAAACTAAACACAACACACTCGTTCAGGGTAACACTGCCTTACAATGAAAACAACTATCTAATCGGCGACGTTTTTGGGAGATGGTCCTACTTGAGAGCACAATGCCCATTACCCCAAACATAGATGATTATATATTTTTTTATTTTAAGGCAGTGTTGCTATTGACGACGATATTTATTCATTTTGTTAACTGTGCTTGTGCACCACTGCCAACGCAGCAGCGTCATCAAATCGTTCGTTTAACTATCAAGAGTAGCAGTATATCACTTATATCGCTACGCGAGGAAGTGCACTTCGCTGAGCGACGATTCCCCGCCCCACCCCCAACATTTCCCATCTCCCCACCCTCGGGTGCTCCCCCCCCCCACCTCGTGCGTGCCAACACCTAAGCGCCCCCCCCCCCCGCGCGCTCTGTCCCTTACGATGTATACACACCACCGTATTAACTAGAGCGGCCGCTGGATTCGAACCGCGAGCCTCTGCAACAAGTGGCGAACGCGCTGCCGCGAGATCACGACACCGTCCAATCAGGCAAGGATGACAGTGTGGGGAGGCCTTCATCCAGCAGTGGATGAAGGCTGCTCGTGAGGAATACAGTCCAGTTATGCGGGGCATCGTGACAAGAGGTTTTACGCGTCAATACATGTAGGATGTGTTCCACAAACGGAGTCGTTTTACAAATTGCCAGTTCGGATGGCGTGTCCTGTTTACATAACACCCGGTGCAGTTATCGTCCATTCGTTTTAATGTCATTCACGCACCCAGGAAAACTTGAATGAGTCTGAAGACCTGTCTTCGGGAGGGTCCTGCATTGGGGATGTTTCTGGCGTATTCCACGAATGAGTATTTTGGCTTCGTGTGAAGGAAACCAATGAACCCGATAAAAACCCCACCCGACAGACACCTCGCAGCCACACTTCCTACCTACAACACCTGGCAAGCCTTGGCGGTCACACATCCCACGACTCAACCTAAGCTTTAGCCTCCGAGATCCGACGACTATGTATGTATGTGGGTTGAACTTATTTCGCACCGTACGTAGCCAACCTTGTTAATCAGAGGTGCGAATCGAGAGAATGTCGGGTTGATGTTGTCGTAAAGCAAAACTTGAGCTTCTAAAGTGGTAGTGGTGCACTCCTGTGGTCAGTCGTGGAGGCTAGGGTTGCTGGATCATGCGTATTTTGTGAAACTCCCTTCCTGCGGGCGTTGAGGTGGTGCATTATCCTGGCTCGCCAGGAAAATCCAAATCTTTATTTATACTAGAGGAATCCAATGAGCTTTGAGGCTATTTTTACAGCTGTCCAGTATAGAATTCCGTACAGCGAATGTGAACACAATTTGTTCTATCTGTATGGGGATAGAGCGTTGCTCCATCGCACTCGTGGATTTTCTTCGGCTACTCCCGTCGTCTCCTCCTCCCATATGCGAGCGCTCATTAATTGGCTGAAAACATCTTCATATATAGAGGACTGCGGAGCGCGGGCAATCTTTGTCCTCAGTTCACCGACTGCCTTACCGCTTGTCTGTAGAATAAGTCCTGTGTCGTCGAGAGCGAGCGAATCATGCGCGGCGCGTTATCAGTCGAAATGAATACGACTACAATAATAATAAAGCTACCAGGCGTTTCTGATCGTTTCTGTAGTAACCTCACAGTTGTATAAATGACGCGTACTGTCGATTGATTGCACGGTATCGGAATTATACGAGCAAATCAGGTGAACCAGCAGACACGCTCTATGCATTGCGGCTCTTTGATTCGCATCGTACCCAGGCAATTTTGCGTTCAAACAATCAACAGCCATAACCTCTCCAAATAACGTTCCTTCATAAAAGTTTACGATTGCTCACCCCTCCTCCCCCCCCCCCCTGTTTTAGGTGCTATGTGATTCTTTTACTGTGGGTCTTGATGCAAGCCGCGACTTCCAGAGGAAGAAGAGGAGGGAGGGATAAGCGCTACCCGCCAGGGGCTTTTAAAAATAAATATGTAAAGCGGCGCGCATAGATTATGCTAAGCAGGGGAGGTATTTGAGGTCTGCCTCGCGCGCCGAGTCGCGCTATGGAGCAGTAGCATCCAAGTTTCAGGTAGCGGCGCACGGGACGGACAGCACAGCACGTGTAACAACGACTAATACTACTCATACAGCAGCAGCAACAGCAGCAAGTAGCAGCAGTGACGGAGTGTTGAGAGGCGAACGCTCTATTGCCGGCTCGCGCGAGCGGAGGAGCGAGCTGCATTACGCGCCGTCAACTTGGGGGAGCGAATTGATTTGAACCGGTGGCAGTGGCAGTGGTTGCGGCGGCCGCGGCGGCGACACGCGAGCCCGACTGCTTCTGCAGAGCGGCCGTCGCCTTCACGGCTCTCGTCACCTCCCCGTATTGTAGAAGAGGACGGGGAAGTAGAAGGGGAACTTCAACGCGGAGAGAGGAGCGAGCGAGCAAGCGAGCGTGGGATGAACTCGCGTTGAGCGGAGAGACGTCGCGACGCACGCGGAGAAGAAGCATAAGGACACCACGCAGGGACTTCGACCCATCCACGCCTCCGTCTTCCCCCCCTCCCCTTCGCACGCCATGGAAGCGGCAAGGACGACGAGTAGAGGATCCTCCGAGGGATCCTCCAAGGGAAACTCCAAGGGACCCGCCTGTCCCCTCGCCTCCTCGGCTGGCGGCCCATGCTCCCCGCAGTCCCCGACGCACTTTGTGCTCGCGCTGTCGTGGGCAATCCTCGCGGCCGCGTGCGTGGCGCTGTTCGCGCGCAGCGAGACGCTGGGGGGCCGGGTGAGCGCCTTGGAGCGCAGCCTCGGCGCCCTGCCCGCGGCCGGGTCCGACGCGGTGATGCAGCAGCAGCAGCATTGGGACGGCGTCTTCGAGCCGCGACTTGAGGCGCTTCTCAATCGGGTAACTTCACGCAGCAAGCGGCTCTTCTCACGGCCCCCCCGCCTCCTACCGCACCTCGCCACCCATCTCGCAGGCTGCCCGCTCCGTCGCTGTGTGGCTCGTGCTCTTAAGCCCCCCTGCTGATTGATGAATTACGATGATAGAAATAATGCACTCCCAGAAGGCCGTTTGGCTGATAGGATGTGTAAAAATAACGGACAGATACGCGAGACGTATTGTGTGCGTATTTATTTTGCTATGTTTTACACAACGACGCTAATGCTTGTTTTGTATTTTGCATGATGTAGTTTTGAGTCGATCTGGGACCCATATCTAACACGGAGAGAGAGAGGGGGGGAGGTTGATTCAAGCAAGCCGAACTATGTGGATGAGACCCTGAATGTCGAAACCGATCCAGACTTTGCTTGTGTCTAACCATTGCTGCTGAAATGATGCACTCCCTTGGAAGTCGCGCGTGGCTGCTGGGCTGTGTAGTTTAGAATAGTTTTATACAGACGGACAGTTAAGTGATGGAAGCAAATCTTCTGCTTGTGTTGTCGATGACGAATACATAGTGATTGATAATGGCGATGATGAAGAGTGACCTTCGTGATTTGTGATGGACATTGGACAAATACGATGATGAACGCGATGCTGATGATGATGCTAAAGGGTAGTGACAATGATTAGGGGAATGAAGGGTAACTATTATAAATGCTTCCAATAATGAGGAGTTCCGCCACGCTGGATAATACCATACTCCCCACGTGCTTGACTAATAAGGCTGCACGTGTGTGTGTGTGTACGAGTCGCAGCGAACACAATACAATTTGCCATGGGGACGCGTCTTGAGACTTGCAGCTTGCACTTAAATGTGCGAGTGCGCGTGTGTCGGCTATCTGAACCGGTTCTGGGCCTCCTGTAGGTCAACTCAGCCTCAAATTACTACATGGCGTGGTGTGTAAACATCGCCACTAGGGAGACAAAGGTGACCGGGCGTGGTGCTGGCCACCTACCTTCTTGTGTTCCATGTCGGTCATCGTAGGTCCTCGCTAACAGCACTTGCCCCAACAGTCTGTTAAGGCTACACGGGAGGGGGGGGGGGTCATTCATTGTATTTGTATGTGTCAAAACCGTTACCTTGTAGACATTCACAAATGAAGTTTGCAGTTCAGCACTCACCTGCACTTCGGCCGCATTCTATGGATAACACACACGCGATAATAAACCTGCGCGTGCCAATCAATAGAATCGACTGCGTGCATGCAAGGCCTCCAAATCGCTCGCGACATGACATGATTAATTACGCAATCAATTAGACAGTTTAATAACCGCCTTATTGTTTCCGCAACCGCGCCGTATACGCAGCATTCCACATTCGAATGCAAAGCAGTCGTGCGAGTACTCACAGGCGCGAAGTGGGGGGTGGTGGGGGGGGGGGGGTAATGAGTCGGGCGGTATGATGTTGGGAAGAAGTTTAGTTATTGTTGAATGAGTTCACCTTGGTCGACTGCGACACGTGCGCCTGAATTGACGTTGGTTGAATCGGAACCTTTGGTCGGCAAAAAACCCGCGCGCGTCTGCGCTTAAAGGGTTAAACCCGGTTGATTTATTGGTGATGTTGCTGCTGCTTCTGCGATGGCAGTGGTGCACAATCACAGTTAACGACGACAAAGACTGAACACATTCGTCAATAACACCGTGGTCTGAAAGGGGAAAACCATATTTAATAGGCGACGTTTCGGGCAACGGTCCTTTATAGGTGGAGGAGTTTATCTCACCGTTGTTAGCATTATTGACGATCGTTCTGTTTTTATGAAGATGCCCATGAGCTGTAAAACGCGTTCACGTTTCATTGAGAAACGTTGGTTAAAAATTATACTTACTTAACCTTAAAAATAACAATTTTTCAACTCTACACGATGTTCAATTGTAATGCCACTGAAATAAACTTATTTTCCCTGTGGTAGACAAGCAGCGTCCTCATTACGTCTGCTTCTAAATATAACGTGATGCAATAGGCTGACGTTTCGGGCAATTCCCCTTGCTTCTGGGATTTGAAGAGGTCCCGTTTCCCAAAACGCTAGCCCATGTGGTTCCGATTCTGTTACATGGCCAATAACGGCCAATGAATAATGTTCAATAACCTTTGTCGCAAGATAATAGGCTATCGCGTAACTGGCTTTATTAACTACATATATTAAAATCACTGATTGCCACTCAAATGTCAAAAAACGCGAATTATCTGACCTTCACTCGGTGCATACACAGGATTAATACACGTGCGATTCTTATTCTTGGTTCTTTCGGTAAAGTCACGTAGAAGGGAAATAATAAAATAAGAAAAATAAAATGTACAAATATTATTATTTTATTATTTTCCTTTTACTTGACTTTACCGAGAGAACCAAGAATATGAATCTCTGCAGTCACGAAAGCTTTAAATCAAAATTTAAAACGTACCATTCTGTTTGCGAAGCGCTCGCTTGTAGAAATCGCATCTTGAACACATTCATCCGGCCACATCGGAGGCAAGCGGAGCAACGTTTGTGGGAGGAATAACGGGTTGAATGCAGCCAAAGTGTCCACAGAAGCATTGGGGTATTAAAGTTTGCTCGTCACAACACGGTAATAACGGCCCCGGGTAATAACGGGACCCGTTCATCACTGTCCGCAAATGTTCCCCTTATCCAGCTGCCAAGAAAAACACTCCAAATGCACTTCGCCCGATATCGTGGGATCGCTCGAGGCTGAGCAGGATTTTTTGAGCCTGGTTATGTCGCGGATGGGAGTAGTAGATTCAGTTTGTCGGCTTGGGCTGCGAGGTGGCCTGGAGAGGTAGTAGAACAGGAATCGATTATTGCATCTAACGGTGCTCGGGTGTAAGTGTTAACTCTCTGGATACGTGATGGTTTTTTTCCTATACCGAGCCAAACTAGAATTAATGTAATTGGCCAAACATCTCAATGTAATTTAATCCTCCTGACAAAAAACGAGTCTTCAGACTCATGGAAGCGTTGCTGGGTAAATGAAAGACATCAGCAAATTATCAATCAGCTCGGAAGGGCCATTCGCGCCGCACACGTCGATGCACGAATCCGGGTCTCGCTCGCAAAATCATCGGGTGGCGGTGCGGTGGTGAGCGCGTTCGTCTCGCAATCAAATAGGCGTCCAGTTAACTTCCCGGGTCGGGAACAATTTCAGCTCATCATCGATCCGAGATCGATAAAACGTCGGTATCACTTTTGGAGAAGTCAAAAGTAGTCGTCCGTTCTATTGTCTGGTGGCCGGCCGCGAAGTTGTCCCCGCTGACTTTCGTTGCTCGTGAGATCAGGGACGAGTTTGGTTTAACGCCTTCTTAAAACCTCGGTGTTTGTTTTTTCTGGTGGGGGGGGGAGGGGGGGGGGATTAAAATCGCGACCATTCAGGTTTTGAGATTATGATTAAGGCAGGTATAGATAGCTCCCCTTACCAACCTGCACTGACCAGCGTGGTGAAGTCTAGTCAAACAACCCCCACGATCCACACGGCGTGGGAAGGACGTCATCCAGTAGTGGACAGGCAATTCGTCCGTACTTGCGTATGTACAGCGAAGGTTGCGAGGTCACGAGTACTGCAGTTGGGGAGGGGGGGGGGAGAGAGAATTTCCCCACACTTAGCACGAACCCAGTTCGACTCTAGATCCGCGAGTCACACGACACGGCAAAAGAGGTCGCGGCACGATTGAATAATCTATCAGGAGGGGAACGGCGTTCAAGCCACGGTGAATGGACGCGCGCGTTTATATTTCAATGCGCTCTCGCGTGTCTCGCTTAATGAGCGTGACGTGTAAGCAATGCTCATCGAGAGCTCCTCGCAAAGATCCCGCGGCTCCTATGGAGGCCTCCGCCGTCTCGTTGAGCTCCCCGCGTCTCGGGGGGAGTGGGGGGGGGGTGCGCAGAGCCGCTACGATGACCCTCGCCATGGAGGAGACCGCGGGAGGCGAGCAGCCGGAGGAAGGGCAGGAGCCGTGCAATTCGATCGCTTCAAATCTTTGTGGGGGGTTGGGAGGGGGGGGGCAAGAGCGATGGTTTCACCAAAGAGAGAGAGAGGGAGGGAAAAAAATCTCGCGCAACAAATTAAACAACGGAGAATGTGGAACGGTGTAGGTGGGCATAGGTGCACCATGTTTCGATTCTGTCTTTTGAATTGCAATTCAGAAACGTGTAACGATGATGACCACACGCACCGTGCGCTACTTAATTGTGCACGCTCACTTTGGTGTTAATTGCTAATGGGGCGCGCACGCTTTGCTGATGTTAAGATGTCAAGTGTGCACGTGGTACGTGCGTTGTGATGACGGTATGGACGTGGCGATGATGCTTATATGGCAAGACCTCGCTTAACGCGTGTTCACACAACGCGTTTTCGCTATAAGGCGGTTTTTCCACGAGGGAACACTTTTCGCACAACGCGTTTCTGAGCGGTCAACGACGAACTACTTTCTTGCGCTGCACGGCTGAGAGGTGTGGTACAGGACGCGGAATGATACATTAACGCCACGGCGTACCCTTGGTTATTTGTACCGCCATCTCACCACGTGTGCGTAGTACATCGTATCTCGCCAAACTAGATCGTTGCATCATTGATGGGGAAATTGTTTTCGCTGAACGCGTTTTTCAGAAACCGCGTTAAACGAGGACTTGCCCTAACGGTGTACTCATGGCGATGATGGCGACGATGGTGAGCGCGTGATGATGAATGACGACCGGTGGTGTGCGCGTCCCCGTGTGTGCAGAGGCTGGAGGAGGAACTCCCGCGCCTTCGGAGAGCGAGGGAGACGTCGACGAAGCTCTGTTCGTGCCCCCCAGGTAAACGGAGGGGGTGTTCGCCCTGTGTGTGTGTGTGTGGTGTGCGTGACTGCGCGCCTATTAATAGGTGCTCGCTAACAGTCATCTTAGCCCAACAAGGGATACACGCGGGATATTCGTCTTTGGGCGTGCGTCGAGGTTGGCTCTGGCAAAGTGGTTGGAGAATTGTGTGCACCCATGGGCTCTTCGTGTGTTCATTGGGCAAGGGACTTCCGCCAGGTCGCCTCGACCTGAAATGCGTAACTGATACAGTATCAGCATTGTGGTCTTGCAGCATCATCACTGCAGCTGCGGATGTGACCCATTCTCAACAGCCGTTTTGCGTGCCACACCTGGCACGATAGGCGCTCGCTAACAGCACGTGGCTGCGATAGTCTAAAGAAGAAGAAGAAGACATCGGAGCGTGTCGTAGTAGGGCGGCAGTGCTTCGCGAACTGTGGTTACGAACCGGTGACCCGCGCTCGATTCCCGGCCACTGCTAAAATCATTGGCGCGTGGTGTCTGAACCGGTCCTGGGGCCACTCCACGATCGATCTCGACCTTCAGAGAAGAGTAGCTGCCTGCAGTGTTTCAACACCGGCACCGGAGAGAGACAAAGACGGCCATGTGTGTTAATGAGTCACACCCACACCTTCGTGTGCGAACAACCCGCACGGCTTGTGTGGCTCAGGGAGGGTATCATCCAGCAGTAGATTCACACGTGGCTGTACATCTGTATGTACGTACAATTTTGATCCATGCGCTGAGTGGTGGTTATGTTTTTTGAGTTGTGCCTTGGGGAACTCGCCGTCCACGCGTTGGGTGAAGCGCGTCTCTCCGCAGCACAATGATGCTTCTGACAAGGGGAAGAGCGGGGAGGCGGGGTCGCTCACTCACTCGGTACTTTATCAGCTTTGTGTAGGAGACTACGGGGGGGAGGAGGTGGTGGTGGCTGGGGTCAGGGGAGTGGGGTGGGGAGGGGGTGCGCAGCTTGTGAGGACATGGAAACTTTCTCCCTTGCCTCCTCATTGAGTCGGGCTCCAGTGATGGGTTACACACACACTCATTCAAACAAAACTCCACTCAGAGAGGCCAGATTTCACATTTTTACTGAACGGCTGGGTGACCACCAATGGCATCATTGCCTGCCACGTGTTGTAGTCATCGGGATGCGACGTGTGGCAGTGCTGAGTGTCACCACCTTGTATGCAGCGCGGTGCTGGGTTGTCTCCGGGATCTGTTTCCTCCAACACGAAGCCAAACACTCATTGGTAGAATTGGCCAAATATCTCAATGTAGCAGAACCTTCTTAAAAATAGACTTTAGGCTCAGAGCGGAGGGCTTCTGTGCAATTATTTGGCAGTCTTGTGATTATTAGGATGCTACCGTGGTAGAGTTGTTCGCACATCGGGCCTGTAAATCAGAGGTCACCATTTAGATCTCCCGGCGTGGCAGCTTAAGTAATAGGCCCGTTTTATAAACCGAATCCTCACCCACGATTTTGTTTACCCAGCGATACAAATGGGTGCACCACAGTTAGATGCTCATCAGATCGCGTGTGGTGGGGCGCATTGTGGGGATTCCAACCTCTTCCAGCGTAAAAGCGTCGGCCAAAGAGTAGGCCAAGTACCCTGTAGTGGGGCTTTATTAAACTCCCTCTCGTGGAGGCTTTTTCACCAGCACTGGCATTTGCGAGACATTGCAGGGCTGCACCTTTACCTTATTCCTAAGACGGTATCGATGTAAGGGGAGCATTGCGGGGCTCTCAGCGCCCCATTAGTGATGACGCCCTTTCATCATCAGTAACAGGAGCAAAGCAATTGGCAGGGCTGCTCCTTTGCCGTATTATTATCACCATCAATAGGAGATTATTGCGTAAAATGCAGGGACGGTCGGACACTAGAGGAGCCTCGCGGGAGGGTTGGGGAGTGTGGTTGGAGGAGGTTACAATTTCCAGCGCTTCCAGGAACCCGATTTGTAAACAGGATCCCGGGCTTGAAGGAGGAGTAGTGGGGCGGGTGGGGAGGGGGGGGGCCCCTCCGATCCCCTTTAAATAGCCGCGGAGTTTTCTGCGCGCGACGCTCGCCGCCGCTCGAGTTCAGGCAGACGAACCCCTTTCGCACAATGGGGAAGCCCACGAAGCGTCGCGCCTGAGCCGCATGCCACAGTCAACGTCTCCTCTCGCGCATTGTTGTGCCCGAACAATGATGACAGTCATTGCTGTGAGACGAACTCCATAAACTTCACCTTGGGCATTCATTCGCGCGCCGCAGACACAATTACAACGGCAGTCAAAAAAAAACACCACCCCCGCACAGACGCGGCACCGCTGAGCGCCAGAGTAAGTGGGGAGCTGAAAGTGTCTGAAATACCCACGTGAATAATAATACAATGGCGGGCGCCTATTTTAATAATAATAAAACAATAATTACAACGGGAGGGCGAGGCTGGGAGCGAGAATGCGACGTCGATTAGTTGGCGTAAGCATTGACAGGCGGCTTCCTATTGCCCCGAAGTGGCGTTGAGTCGCGCTAATGACTCAATCGAAAGGCGCGCACGTGTGCGGACTGCACGCACAACGTGTGTGCGTTGGTGCGTAATGAGGAGCGGTGGCGCAGTGGTTAGCGCACTGCGTTTTAGGAACTCGGCGAAACCGTGTTCGTTTCCCGCTCACGGTCAACATCAGTGAGGAATATCTGAATCGGTCCTGGGATTCTCCTCGGTCGTTTCAGCCTTAAATAGTACTTTGGTGCAGTGTGTAAAACATCGCCACTAGGGAGACAAAGATGGCCGGGCGTGGTGCTGGCCACCCACCCCCTTGTGTGCCGTGCCGGCCTTCATAGGTGCTCGCTAACACCACTTGCCCCTACAGTGTGTTAAGGCTACATCTTTGTCTTTGCGTGAAAGAGAATAGGTGTGTAAATACGGCTGTTCATGTGGGTGTGAGAGAACGCGTGCGCGCGGGTGTGTTTGTACGTCTTCGTGTGCGCGTGTGTGTGTGAGAGCGAACAAACACCCCCACGTACAAGTGTGTGTGCCAGAGCGAACACGTGTGTGATAGTACATGTGTGTGTGTGTGAGAGCGAACAAACACCCCCACGTACAAGTGTGTTTGCCAGAGCGAACACGTGTGTGATAGTACATGTGTGTGAGAGGGAACAAACACACCCACGTACAAGTGTGTGTGCCAGAGCGAACACGTGTGTGGTAGTACATGTGTGTGTGTGTGAGAGCGAACAAACACACCCACGTACAAGTGTGTGTGCCAGAGCGAACACGTGTGTGATAGTACATGTGGGTGAGAGCGAACAAACACACCCACGTACAAGTGTGTGTGCCAGAGCGAACACGTGTGTGGTAGTACATATGTGTGTGTGTGTGAAAGCGAATAAACACACCCACGTACAAGTGTGTGTGCCAGAGCGAACACGTGTGTGATAGTACATGTGTGTGTGAGAGAGAGAAATAGAGAACACGCGTACACGCGCGCGCGCGCTGGTCCTTGCAGCCCCCTTGAAGGGGTTAAAAATACCCGCGGGGTTGTGACGGACGGGCGGTGGGTGGTGGCTGCCGGTAACGCGACTCCCTCGCTCGCCCTGCCCAGGGTCCGGGCCAGAGACCATTTCTCCAGCCCTTGCCAGTGCAGAAATAAGAGGATGGCCATCGTTCGTGTTTGGCTGTAGTGGCATTCCGTTTTCAATAAGGGGGGAGGGGCATAAGTTTTGATGCTGCCAGCCCATTCGATTTTCTCAGACCCGTTTATTTGAATATTGGGCGATCACTGTTGTGTTGAAAAAAATCGCCTGTTGACATTCCTTGGCTGACTCCTGATCAGCCCGTGATTACCGCTTGCATCTGTCCGTCGTTTGTTGTCGATTTTTTTTCATTGTTTGTTACTGGCTGCGGTCGATGTGGAGTTGGTTTCGTTAATTTGAGTGCGTGCAGCAATAGTTCTACCGCGTCTAAGCGCATCGAAACAAGACGCAGCCCCAAATCGATTACTCTTAGGCGCACCGCTATTATTCATGATGCACGCACGCGCATGCCGGACGATGCCAATGTAGATGACTACATTCGAGGAGGGAACGTCACTGTGCAAAGGCTACAGAAAACAACTTGAATAAAAACAAACGAGACGGCGTAGCCACGCCGATGGCAGCAGTGGCTTCGCTTTCGAGTGTGCAGGCGGTACAACTGCACCGGGGCCCACAAGCCCAGGGTGCGGGCAGGGAGCAGACCCCGGGCTAGGAAGGGAGTGGGGGGGGGGGGTCATTGGACAGGGCGGGGGCCCCCACTTTCCATTCCCTACGCCAGGGCCCACGCCAAGCACGCTACACCGCAGGGTTGGATGTCAAGGGGGGGACCCGTTATCCTGAACCAAATGAATGAGTCGCGCTGCGTCTGATGCTGCTGCTGCTGCGGGGTGCAGAGGTGAGCGAGGGGATCTGCGCCAGCGATTTGCATCCCGTCACGGTGGGTTTAGGTCCAGAGTAAATGTTTGCTTTAGATTTCAAGCCAGGCGAGAGCCCCCTTCCCACCAACCACCGCTACCTCCACCCCTTCCCCATGCGCTTTGTTTTGTGTAATCCGCGCGCGCAGTCACTTCGCACTGCTTGATGGGCTTTGGGGGGGCGGGGGCGGGGGGTTGCTGAAAAAAGACGAGGGAGATGGGGTGGGTTGTGGTGTTGGGAGACGCAGCAGGGGGGGGGGGGAGCTTGCCGGGGTGACTAAGCCGCGGGGTGAGCAGATTTGTCAGTCGCTGTTGTGTTTCTACCCCCCCCCACCACCACCCCCCAAAATAAGTTCTCGCGCAGCCACCACATAATCGCCACCGCATCACGTCAGTGTCACGCCCAACAGATCTCTCCATTCTCGATTCGCCTCCCAGTGGATGCGGCGTAAAGTTCCCAGCCAAACCCCGCTCGAAGTGAAATGTACAGCAGCCGTTGGCGGCCCGGTGTGATGGATGCCCCCCCTCCTCCACCCCCCGCGCGCACGAACAACGCACCCGCACCGCTCAC